GGGAGGGGTTGAAAAAGAAACTTGTTCCATTTTTGATGATTTTTTATTGCTCCAATATCTTGAAGACAATCCTCCAAAAATTTTTATAATTTTCCAGATTTTTTACTTTAAATTCTGTTCCTTAACCCTATTCCCGCTGGGAGGGAGGGGGTCAATTGGCCCCCCTGTAGTTTTTTTACATAACTAAACCGGGCTTTTATACTAACTGCCTGAATACTCAGGCACACTGCCTTTATGACTACTTTTTCCTGTAGCAAACTAAATCTTTGTTTTGACCCACTTTCAGTTGTCAGATTTGCATAACTTTTAGCTTTTTAGAAAGCCTATGACATAAGGAAATAGATTGCACAAGTTTTTGCAAAGAAATTTTTTCAAATTATTTGCATACAACCTGTCAAAAGAAATTATTTTTTGGTTTTTCTTAATTTTGCAAATTTTGTTGAATATTTGTAATAGAATAGTCAAGGGCTTTTCAAAAATGTATATTCTATCATTTTTTGCACATTTTTTGTAAACATTTTTACTATAAAGGTGGATTTTGCAACAAAAATTTTAATTTTTTGCAATTTTTGCAGATTCAAAAGGAAAAGCACAAGAGCTTTCCAATGATTTATCATTTGTCATATTTGAAATTCAAACATGAGATTTAGAGGGGGGATAAAATTGACCCCCCCCCCCCAGCATATTCTGGTTTTCAAGTACCCCAGCAGGGATAGGGTTAATTAAAAAAACGACTGTTCCCTGACACTGACACCATATGCTCTAAATATACTACCAATCCAGCTTCTCATAATACTTTAGGGTATTATGAAACATATAACAAACCCCATTTAGGAACCTGCAAGTTTACTGTGAACAAATCCAACGAAGATATCTGTCAGCTTCGTCTGGATTTTTTAACTGCTGTACAAGGAGTTTCAGCCACTCCTCAGCTATATTTACTAACTTGTAAAACGAATTTTTAGTTTCAATATTTTTCTCATTTTGATGAATTAGTCTTGGGTTGTTATTAACCGCAAAATAAAAACTAAGCAATTGACCACCAAGAAAAAATATCATTTTTCTAAAATGAATAATTAATGAAAACTGAAAAGCTGTATTACAATTGTAACAAACAAATCCAGATTTTGTTCAATGAAAAACTGTGCGATCACCTCATTCTTCTTTCCTGCTAGTCATTTCAAGTGCTACCTTGTGATAGCTCCGCAGTCTACATTAACATATACATGGTTAATCTACGTGCTAAGCTTGGTCATTCATGAATTAGTATTTCAGGGTTGTTGTGGAGCAGGATGCGCAACAGCATCAGATTCTCTGACAGTAAAGGGACAAACTGGGGCTAATCCACCAGTTATCTGTGGGGTCAACACAGGAGAACACAGTAAGTACTAATTTACTCTAAACCATTTAGAATAACGTTAGAGGATGTTGAATTTCAAAGCCAGTGAGGGCTGTAACAGATGGGAACTTCTGTGTGTAGTGGCGTTAATCGTGAAAACTTGATCTTGATGGCAAATCTGGGCACTTTTGAAATTGGGGATATATGATTGATCCTCCTATCAAAGTTATCTCTGGAGGGAATGACCACCAGTGCTGGGCACTTTTAAGTTTTTTAATCCCTTCCTCACCAGTTAGATGAAGTTGCTTACACTAAAGGGATTGTAAGCATTATCTTAAGAAACCCACGAGCAAATGGCAATTCCTGATTTACAACAGTACCCTTAAAAACTTTGTCTTGTCAAGTTTAAATAAGAAATAAATGTTTTTAGTTTTGTAAACAAAAGTGATTTACTCATTTCTACCGCTGGAAAATATCGAGTTTAGCAAAGTTAAACACTCTTTCAAGATAGAAAACAACAAAATCTGCCAAATTATTGATCAGAGAAAAACTTCAAAAGTACCACTGTGAACCAGACAAATTGCCATTTTTGCATGCAGTGTCACTTGAAATTATGCTTACAATCATTTTAAAAATCTAAAATTAAATTAAAGAAGTAATATTCCAATTCAGTGTACGTCGACATGGGGAACTTAGCAGCTGATGCTGTAACCTTGGACTTCTCTGTAGCAGGAACTACAGCTGATCAGTGGAATGTGAAAGTCTCCCAGATTCCATGCTCTTCCAACTATAGGTATAATTAAATCCAGAGTTTGGAGCTTTGAATAAGTAACAATGGGTTCATTTTTGAGAAGGGGCTTTGCCTTCTGAATAAACCTGAGAATCAGAATCACCGTCAGTGTAAGTATGAATGCTACTGATTTTAACTAGGAAAATTATCTTAATGATTCAAAATTGTAAACAATTAGGTAGTTTTAGTTTTAGGTTCCAAACCAGCATGTCTTTTAAAAAGTTTTCTTTTCCAATCCAGACATATTTAAATATTTTCATTTATTAACAAAGAATTATTTTGTAGAGCTCCAAATAAGTGTGTAAAATACTACACAGGTGCTTCAGGTATAATTTAATGCGTTATATTTATATATGTAATTTACCTTTTGTTTGTCCGTATTAATTATTCAAAACTGGAGTCTTTAAACCTTTATCTAAGAAGCGAATATAGAAAATTATTTTTTGAACGGTAATTTTTTATAAAAGAAAATTATAGGAAAGAAAACTTTAGAATCTTTTAGCCTTTGTACTCTTTAATTGTGTTACTTACTAGGCACTGTCACTTCCTACGGATTTCCAGGCAACACTCTCCTTCAGAATCAGAACTATGAATCCTGTATTCGCCAAGAAGCAGGTTATACATATATACATAGATATATAGAAAGTTACATAGATACATAGATACATAGACACATAGATACATAGATAGTTACATACATAGATACATAGATAGTTACATACATATATACATAGATACATAGATACATAGATATATAGATACATAGAGCTAGATATATAGATAGTTACATACATACATGGATACATAGATGCATAGATACATAGATATTGTAGAGGATGGGTTTTCTCTGTAAATTAAAACTAGTAATCCTCGAAGTTATGATATAAAATACGGGAGAGAAACGATGAACCTAAGAAAATCCAGTAGTTCTCCAACCTGCATCGGATCAACATGTTCTCCTGCATAGTAGTTTATCACCTACAAATATATTGCTAATAAACTATATTATAGACTTATTCTTACTCTCTAAAATGTATAGATAGTTACATAGATACATAAATACATTGCATAGAAAAGATGCATAGATACATAGATGCATAGATACTTAGATGCATAGATACTTAGATATATAGATACATAGATACATAGATGCATAGATATTAATGAATGCATATATACATAGATATAAAGTTAAATAGATACACTCATGGGTAGGTATTGTAGGAACTGTCTATATTCTTATGTTAAGGTTATTGTTCAATTCTATGGGATCAAAGTACAGTAACCCCACCAGCAGGTTATTACAATATTTTTTCATTTAGATATTTGCATTCAAACAATTAAGAACTCTATAACCCAAAAACTGCTGAAAAGTGTTGCAAAGCGTTTGGGAAAAAAAATAGAGGAGGATATACATGCTCCACCTGAATTGAAGTCAAAAGCGATTAGTATCTACATTGTTTCAATCTCACAATCAAGTAGTTTTGTAATACCTTGAGCGAAGGTTGTCTTTAGATGAAATTTTAAGAATAGATAAAATGATAATATCTTTTTCCACTCTTGGCAGAAAAAAAGATTTCAATACTATTTCTCATCATTAAAACATCAGATATTAAAAATATTGATAGCAATTGATTTGATTTCAATTCAGGTAGGAACTTAATTTCATTTTTTTAAATAAAACATATTTGCATTAATGCGCAATCTGACAGAGACAGATTTACCTCATTAATATCAATCTTTCTTGCTATTTAAAAAAACCTAATTCAAAATTAAATAAAACAAATTTAGATGAAAGATTTCATTTTATTCACTGAGTGATAAAGCCAAACATTTGGAGATTTATTTAGATGCCTTCGACCTAACAAATGCTGCAATGGCGGATCAAGCAACTAATAATGTAATTAGTAAGTAATTTTAATTCAAATATATTAAAAAGTAAAATAAATATAATACGGTCATTAACAGTAATAAGCGGAATGTAAGTCGTCTTTTTAAAAAAATTCTAAAAATGTTAGTTAAAAATTATTTCATTTCCAATTCTTAGGACCGATAGAACTTTAGAATGTTAAGGGCACATTCTCACATTGTAGAGGGGAGGGGGNACGCCTTATTAGTGATCAAAATTTCTAAAATAAAATAAAATTGAATTTCAATGACCTGTAATGACCTCTAATGACATCCACAAATAGAAAATATTTTAACTATGGTTTTATGCATATCAAACGAAAGCTAGGAACCCAGGGAATACAGTATAAGCAGCAACGAATCCAGTGTTTAATCTTCTAATTACCTCTAACGACATCTAATGACCTAAAATGACCTCTAAAATAAAAATGTTTTAACTATGGCTCAACACCTACCCTTTTACCTAAGAAGAATTTAACTCAGTGAACATATTGTATAGATGTATAGACAGTTTTTAGTATTATCTGTACTCATACCTTAAAGGGAGTGACCAGCTGGACATGTTAGTTGAACTGAGATTGCAGTACTGTAGAGAAAATGTTCAGGATTTATTTGAGACCTCTAAGGCCTTTTAAAGGTGAATACATATTCACTATACAGTAAGGGTGCAAATAAAATTTATTTTAAATCCTCCTGGACTGTCCATTCTGGAGGCTTGATTTTTAAAATTGATTTTTGAAAAATAACTGAGACAAAAATGTAACAAAAATTATAAAATAAAATAATATTACCTGTATAGGAACAGAAAATAATGTACTCTTACTATTAAAATTAAGCTATAATAATTCATTGTGGATTCTCACTGTTACAGTGTAAGACAACATTTTAAGAAATCTGTCAATACATTTTTTCGAGTAGACAATAATAACAAAGTGAATTAATCGATTCTACAATGGCTTTCATTGATAATTTCTTTTGGAAATTCAGTTCCTTTACCTTTTAAAAAATCAATTTTCAAAATCAAGCCACCAGAATGGGCAATCTAAAAAGATTTCAAGGATGAATTTGTGCTCTAGCTGAACAATTATACACAGTAAAAACGTCCTATAGGTCTCAAATGAATCCTAAAAATTTCTCTACAAAGCTACACTCTCAGCTCAACTTCCCTTTCTAGTCAGTCACTACCAAGCTGTAAGGATCAAATGGAACAAAAAAAGCATTCTTTTAATTTCAGCGGCTTGTGGTAAATCGTTTGTCAAAATTCCAAATGCAGTCCTTGGGCCTACATCCGCCCCTATAACGGTAAAGTATCTAGTACACTGCAAACAAATTTTAAATATGTCTATTTAAAGGGAGTGGCTATATAACGTAGTTGAACTTTGTATGCAGTGTTGTGGAAAACTTCTTTCGGAGTCATTTGAGACATATTAAAGATCTGTAAATCCTGACTTTTTTCAGTAAAACTTATTAATCACTTATTTATGGAAGAGAGATTGCAGTTCTTTAAAGGGAGTGACCGGCTATGTAAGGTAGTTGAACTGAGTATGCAGTGTTGTGGAAAACTTCTTTCGAATTCATTTGAGACATATTAAACTTTTTAAAGATCTGTAAATCCTGACTTTGAGCGCAAATTCAACGTTCAAAACTTCTACTTTGGGGGTGGATACGTTTTCAGAATTAGATTTTTTAAATTATTAAATAACGACGACATAAAATGTAAAAAAGTTCTACAATAAACTACAGACGTTATGCATAGGAACATGTTGAGAAAATTAAGATTAATTAATCATTGAAAATAAGTAATCTTGTTCAATTATTAGTTTATATTTTCTCATTATTCTGGTTTCTCATTATTAACAAAAATTTTCTCCAGAAATTCTAAAATTATTATTGAAAAGACGACATTTGAAGATTTTGAAGAAATCTGCGAATAAATTCAAAGAAAATAAGAAATTCAATATAATAATGAAAACGAAATAATCGATTTTAGCATTGATTTATAGACAAATTTCTTTTGAGAAATATGTTCCTAACTATCTAATTAGATTACTGTATAACATTTACTTTATTTTTCGTTGTCGTTATTTAATAATTAAAAAAACTAATTCTGAAAACGTATCTACCCCCAAAGTAGGAGTTTTGAACGTCGAATTTGCGCTCAAACTCAGGATTTACAGATCTTTAAAAAGTTTAATATGTCTCAAATAGCCGGTCACTCCCTTTAAAGAACTGCAATCTCTCTTCCATAAATAAGTGATTAATAAGTTTTACTGAAAAAATGTCAGGGTACTTTTAGAAGTCTCAGTTCTAATTTTTTTTAAGCTATATACAAATATCTATACCGGATACATTTTGGGCCAGGTTGGTAATTAAACAGACTGTTGTAGTGATGTAAGGAGCATTCTTCTGAAGGTGGATTAGCTTCCTTGTCACAGCATAGGAATATCCAGAATGTTCACCAGAGAAAGAGTACACTTTGGAGGCTAGATACGCCAAATGTTTTATTAAACAATGCAAAATCAAATCAAGCAAAACCGTGAAACATAATTTTAAATTGATGTTATGCACTTTAATGGGGGTTTGATGGAGTAAAGAATAAAAAAGGAGTATTTGATGGATTTTGACATGTCTGGGAAAGAAAATATCATCAAGACTCAAAAAATGGTAGAAAATATTGATAACAAATTTTACATTAAAAATAAAGTTGTAGAGCAAGATTTGAAAATGACAAAGATCTGGAGTAAAATTGTCCGAAAGTCTCTGAGCGAGGACCAAGAGCGTGACATTAATCATGGATCTCAAAAGTAAATCAAAACTAAATAAATTCTCAAAAGTTCTTTTTACATAATTCTTAATCTCCCTTTTCTTTTGATTTCTTTTAAAGGGTCTAAAATTGCAATGAATCCAGTTTGAGACCATTATAAAGATTTTCTTGCTAGGCAGTTGATTTACTTTCGGGAGAACGGTCGTTGTGTAACAACAAAGAAATGTATGACATCAACTGGTCTAAAAGATAAACCGGTATAGATATAGTAAACATTAACTAAAGGCCCCAGCATTGCCCCTGAAAAAAAAAATTTGGAACAAAATTTGTTTTTAGCCTTGGAAAAAAAAATTTGGAACAGCATTTTTTTTAGCTTAGGACTCTCTCAGGCTAACCATGAGTGTCCACAAAAAAATTCAGCCCAATCGGTCCAGTCTTTTGGCCGGCTATAGGCGATATATATATTAATATATATATATGAATATAAAAAAATTACAGTGCTGAGACTTCTACAAGTACGCCTTGTTTAGCGAAACTTATTAATCACACCTTGTATATATGTATTTTGAAAATTATTAAAGAACTTTATTGTTCTATATTGTTCTAAGAGAAAATGCTTACAGATAGAGCCACAATTAAAAAACGAAATACAAGAAGGTATTAAAACCGTCCTGAAAGCCTATAGGATAGTGATGATCCAAATTAATCCTATTTGTTTATTACTGTATATATTACATATTTCTATTTTTGGAATCTTCCCTTTCCAACCTTAGATGCATTTAAGTGCTTTTTGTATAGTACATAGTAGTGGTTTTGGTTTTAATAATGAATTTTCCTGTAACTATATTTACAGGCATTTTGTGGTGAGGTTTTCGGGGTTGAGGCTCAAACTGTGGCCAACAGTTTCACAAGTAAGTGAAGGAGTATAAATAGTAAGCTGTAGTGTCCTACATAGTAAATACATACATGCCTTAGAAATCAATGCTTTGTTAATCAAATAATAAATAAATAATAGAAAATGTTAATATTGGAAGAGGACTAATTAATAAAAGACTAGTTTGCAAGAGACATTGTTCCAAAACGGGTTTATTCCCATATTCAACACTTATAAATGTCTAGAATAAAAGTCTACATTAACATTTTGTTAAAGCATGACAAGGACACCAATTCCAATATTAAATTATTTTCTGAAATTAGAATTGTAATAGAAATCTTTTTATATTGAACACTTTTGACTATTTTCAAGACAATGCAAGGTTTTCTATTTTCCCACAGGAATTGAGTCTTTGCCACAAACTCTGATTTTCTAATCCCCTATATATTTAATACACAATATAGTAGACCTTAGATATTTCAAACTATGAATGCTGTTAGATAAAACAAGCTTAGTTTGAAATATCAATGGTATTTCAAGTTAGAGAAGATATAGGGATGTGAAAATATGAGTGTGTGGCAAAGACTCAATTCCTTTCAATCATTGTCGCGTTTTTGGAACAAATCCCACTTTCCCGTACGTTTTGAGTCTAATCCGTAGTTAATCAAAATAACACTACGTTGTTAACTTACATAATAAAACACTTAACACAAAAATTAACCTTATGAAAAAAAATTAACTGCGAAAAATCTAAGTTTCCAAATTTTATTAGTTAAATTTATTTATACATAAATATAAATTTGTAATCTCAGTTTGTCTGGGTGTTTGTTTGTTTGTTTGTTTGACCGATCATAACTCAGGCACCCCTGGACCGATTTGCCTTAAAATTTGATTAAGAAACTCGGGAGACCACGGTAATGTTCTTAGCTTGGTTTTGAGATTCTTAAATGAGTGGATCGACTTTTATTGGGAAAAATAGTAATTTAGGACACAGCGCGGGTAATCAGTGGGACTAACTATGAGTATGACCCCCAGTGCAATGCTGGGTTCCCAAGCTAGTAAGAGAATACAGATGATTTATTTTTTTGCATTTAAAAAAAAACATTTTCCCGCATTTCTCATAAAATCTCACTGTACAGTGATAACCAGAAAACTGCAGAATAGGAAGACGACATTAAGACAAAAGAGAAGTACATTTTATGTAGTAACAAATCAAATAGTTTAACAGAAAGTTATAAAATCACGTATTGAGTGAAATGGGTCCGTTTACAATGCACAATTGAAGTGCCTCATGTTCATTGGACTATTTAAAGTCATAAATAGAGTGTAAAGAAAAGTCGACTTCCTATTCCAGAGCAAATCACATCCCTCTGAAGAATTGGTGAACGCAGTTAGAACCATCCTACAATGATCTGAAACTATAATAAATCAACAAACTTCTTGGAACAAACAATTTTTGAATAAAAAACGCTCTATTTTCGTTAACAACCAAGAACCAGGACAATATTAACGTTCAAAATAATGTTCATAAATCGCCATAAGACTATGGTAAGGATAAGTTAGTTCTTCTCCTTTCATCCCCCCAAACTCCCTGCAGCTTTATTCCCCCCCCCCCCCTTTATTACTAAGCATATTAAATCTTAACCCCTCTCTACCAGGAAGGATGACAGTCCTCTATACCTGTGTGCTCAGTTAGCTGTACTGAGCTGAAAACTTTAGAATGGTGGATATCGAGATAAATACTTAACCTTTTCTTAATCTCAAGACTAACCTAATCTTGTACATGTATCCTGAAAAGTGTATAAAATTCAACCAACCAGAGTCGCGTATCAGAAGCTGAGAAATTTGAAATTTTGCGCGCCATTTAGGATTAATATACAGAAAACGAAGGAACTCTCTAATTTTGAAAACCCAGTTTTTGATTTTTCTGTACTTTTTCCAAAAAAGAGTGGATTAAGCAAGAAATCAAAAGTGTCCACATTGGATATTCGGATTAAGCAGTCGGGATTTAAGGTATCTAATTCTAAAGTTCACAGCTAATGATGCACTATAACAGTAGCTTAAATAATTTCAGGTTCAACATTACCCTTCACCTTGTCAACCTTTACTGGTGCAGGAGCTGCAAATACTCTAACAAGTAAGATTATAAGATTCTTTTAATTAAAGTTATCATTTCATGTAATAAAATCTAGGTCCCGAGATTACTCTAATCAAAGTCTAATTATAGTCTCACTGACTCTATCTCTAGCCAAAACTCAAGGCTCTATATTTGTCCGTATAACATGAAGGTTCATGTAGTACTAAATTTATTAATATACAGGTAAATCAAACTGACCGGATTGGCCGGTCAGAGCAACATTGAAATAGGTAAGACATATATTGATAACATAGATAATAAAGATTGTGATAAGCATTGCAATAGAAAATGCTACAAATCCCTGGGGGAACGGTGTCGAGAGTTATCTTTCAATGGAACTTTAACGATCTCTCGACATCGTACTTTTTCCAGCATCCGCCATCAGTCGCTCCAGCTGGATTTGGGATGACCCCGGGTCTGACCTTGAACTACCCTGGGTCTAGAACAGCAACATTGGTGATATCAATGCGCTGAGGAGCAACCTGGTAATCTATAACCCCAGGTTGATATCTACGGACACTTCCCAATGCAGGTACTGACTTAATGACATCAACGGGTTGCAGAACAACATCGTAACCTCTACGTTGGGTTGGGTGTATACATCTGATGAGTTGGCTCGCTCCAATCCTTAGAACCCTCTGTAGCTGTGATAGAGAGGAACATGAACAAGAGCATTAAACCCGTACGAAAAAGAGAACTACTCCTTGTGTTCCTTGTAGACTGACCGATAGCTGGAGAGATAAGATTGCTCTGCACCGCTGCCGTACTGGCACGTCCTAGCAGCACTGGTAGGGCTGCAATCACTCCCACCTGTTGATCCCTCATAGCTGGGGTAAGGGGTGAAATTCATACTGTACCGACCAGGTTTTCTGTTGATCTCTCCATACAGCCACAGTGATCCAGAATACAATTTATCGATCCTTTGCATTTCTTGGCTTGAATCTCTTGATTCCAGCTGGATTCATACTCCTCATATTGTACACAAGGAATATCTCTCAATCCCCTCTTGATCCCTTCTCACTTTCTCCATTTATCATGATGGAGGTTTCTAGCTCAGTTTGCCCTCTCTTCACTCCTCCAGCCCCCTCATGCATATGTATCTCGTTCTCCGGTTGAAAGACTGGCCATGTACTTGAGGATGGAGGTGTGGTTGGTTGGGTTGGTTCATCTTGTAATCTCCTCTTGATCCCCTCCCTTTTCCTCTATTTTTCATTATGGCTGTTTTCCTCAGGTTCAGCTTGGCCTCTCTTTACTNATTTTCGAAATCTCTACCTGAAAGTTGGGGTTGGGTTGGATGGGTTGATTCTCCGGTATTTTCCAGGCTGGGGAGGGGCTGGTACTCTGCCCCCCTATTCCCCTCTCCCTGCATATCAACTTCTCCATCTAAATCTAGTGTGGGGTGGGATCCCCTCCCTCCCTCTTCACAGCTGGATGTTATCTGTGTCCCGCGGTCAGTCTGTATAATCTCCTGGGGTTCAGTCTGACCAGCTGTATCTCTCCTGTCTCCTGGGTCTCATTCTCTTCTGTCCAGCTGTCTCTCTTGTCTCTTGCTCTCTTCTGTTATTGATCTCTCTAACTCCAGGCTCGGAATTTCTGTAATCTCATCCCCTCCTTGGGTAAGCCATGTACGTTGTTCTCCCCCCAAAATTCTTTGAGAATATCCAAGCTAACTATCCTTGGTTTACCTTGCTTGAACACAGCAATCACATCTGCCAACGCTGGGGCCATCAATCTTGTAGGGCCCCGCCTAGTATGACCTGAGTTTATCACAGCTGCCTGGAATTATTCTGGGGTCAAAGATCCATACCCACTGGCCTATGTTGAACTGGTTCAGGATGGGCTTGTAGTATTGAGCGTTTCTCAGCACTGTCTGTTGTTGTCTCTCTCTAATCCCAGCATAGGCAGTTTGAAATCTTTCTTGTATAGTGTCTGTCCAGGCAGTTACATCCTTCTCTGCATCTGGTTTGGGTATTGGGTAAACCCAATGGATAGGAACTATAGCTTCTCTCCCAAAGGTTGCAAAGAACGGTGTCTGTCCCGTACTACCATGAACTGTGGTATTGCACGCTAAACAAGCCACTTTTACACCTAGGTCCCATTCATTTTGCATCTCCATGCCCATAGTTCTCAGTATACTCACTATTGTTCTATGCCATCGTTCCACAATATTAGATGAAGGGTTGTAGGGAGGGGTTCTAGTATGCAAAATCTTCAATTCACTAAATAGTTCAACCCATAACTTATTTACAAATTCAGCTCCGTTGTCTGAGTGAATTTGGTTAGGCAATCCAAAAACACTGAAATGTTCACATATCAATACTCTAGCCACAGTGCCTGCCTCATTATTGCAAATAGGATATGCACTAGCAAATCTTGTATATCCATCCTGTACCGTCAGCATATAGCAATTCTTTCTCACAGTTTCCGACATTGAAACTATATCTATGAATACTTTATCTCCAACATTGCCCACTGTACTAGGCACATGAGTCCCTCTCTTGGCTTGCTAAACAGGTGTTACACCGATCTACCAGCCTACGGATTTTCTCACGGGCAGACATTGCAAAGAATGTTCTCTGAAACTTGTCCAACGTTCCTCCCACACCTCTATGTCCCCCTGCCACGCCCTCGTGACAAATCTTGAACACTTCCTCTAACTTCACTGCTGGTACACAAACACGTAATGCATCATAGGGCTTGGCTGGATCTGTGTGACGGTTAAAACATAAGATTCCATTATGCATCACAAACAAGGTAGGATTGAATATCTGCCTCACTGATATCACTTCCTGTATTCCTTCCCTCACTTTCTGCATCTTGGATATTTTACCATCCACTACCCACTTGATCACTTCCTTCCAGACTTCATCCTCTTCCTGTAACTTCCTCAGTACGTTACCCTCCATTATCTCGTATCTTGTCTCGTTACTCAGGTTATGAATAGCAGACGGATAACCAGCAAACTTCCGCCTCTCTCTTCCTATCTCCACAGGGTTCCCCTCCAATTCTGATGCAAAAGTAATCTTCATCTCTCCCACTTCGTTTGCTTCTTGGTATTCTTCATTCTCTTCTGCTGTTTGCTCATCTAAATGTTTGGCTCTGGACAAGGCATCTGCATTAACATTCTCACTTCCTTTCTTATGTATCACAGTGAACTCAAATTGAGCCAGTTCCGCGTACCAATGTTGAAAAATAGTTTCTTCTGATTTAAAGTTCACGATATACTTCAAACTAGCAGCATCCGTGTAGACTAGGAAGGGGGGCCGGTACTTCAAAATATGTTCCCACTTCTTCATGCACTTCACCAGGGCAAGGAGCTCCCCCTTGGCACAGGAATAGTGTCTCTCTTAATGATTACATTTCCGCCCCCAGCAGCCCAGAAACCGCTCAACTCCATCTTGTTTCTGAGACAGAACTCCTGCAATGTTTAGAGACGACCAGTCCATAGTGAGAATAAAAGGTTCATCTGAATCAAAATCTGGGTAACCTTGTATCCGCCCTGCTGAAAACTCCGCCTTCAACTCCAAAAAATCCTTCTCCATATCTTCTGTCCAGACAAATTTCTCCGCCTTCTTAAGACTGTTCATCCTGTTGGTCAAAGCCGAGTACCTGGGAATAAAACCTCTGTAATAACCTGTGAATCCCAGTAATGACAACATTTCCTTGCAACTAGTGGGACGTGGCCAGCTCTGCATATCTTTCACATATTGATCCAACATCTGTACTCCGCCTTGACTCACTTTATGCCCCAAATATTTGGTTTCTGTTTAAAATATCTTAGTCTTCTTAGGTTGAATCTTGATCCCTGCCTTCGAATGAGCCTCCACGATACTCTTCAGATGCTTCAAGTGGTCCCAGGTGTCCATGGAGAACACCAGGATGTCGTCCAGATATGATAATCAGTACTCCACAGGTAAGTGCGCCAGGGCCAGGTCCAACATCCGGCTGTAGATGCTTCCGGCGTTTGACAGGCCAAAGAGCATCCTTATATAACAAAAAGTGCCAAAGGGACTAATAAAAGCTGTACAATTCCTGCTCCCCTCCTCTATCTGTATAGCGTGATATGCGCCACAGGCGTCAATTGAAGTGAAGATTTTTGCACCCTTCAACTTTTGCAGATTTTCCTGGATATTCGTCAGGGGGTAAGTATCCTTGATTGTGATATCATTAAGCTGCCTCAGGTCAGTCACCCATCTTGTTCTCCCATCCATTTTCTTCTCAGGAACTAGTGGCGTTGCCCAGGGACTGTTTGCAGGTTCTATAATCCCCAGTTGGATCCACTCATCCAATTGTTCTTTCAGGTTTGCACGCTGGTGCGGGTTCAATGGCCTCACCTTTGATCTCTTAGGTACTGCCCCTGGCTGTAATTCTATCTGCAGCTCCAATAAATCCGTTTTACCGTAATGATTGGGGTGAAGGGCTAACATAGAAAAGTTCTCCTAGAAAAGTTTGACTACTTCCTCTTTCAACTTTGCATCCCTATTTAGAATCTCATTCTAATCTATCTTGAAACTATCCTTGATAAACTTTCTCCTACTCTCTTCTGTTGGGAAATCAGATTCTTGCAGTGAATTAAGTGATTCCTAAGATCCGATGCTGTACTTCCCCTTAACTCTTCCTTAATCCAGGCCTGTTTATCTACGCACATACTATAGTGCCCAGCTTCTGTCCTACACACAACTCTACACACTCTTCTGCATGATTCTCCACATACACTGCTTGTACACTTCCTGACAGATCATATGCATTCTCCCCTCCTCCTGGTCTTCTAAAGGTAACGATTCTACTACTCCTGCACCCTTCCAGTTTCCTTCTGTTCTCACCTTAACTAGTTTCGCACTACCTGCTGGGATAATCACCTTCTCAGCCGACCATAACTTCCTCTCTATCACTTCCTCCATGTTACTAAGGTTGTTTACTTCCGGTTCCCTTTTCTCTGCTTTCCACACAGCCGGAAGTACTTGTACGTAATTCTTGTTTTCCTTATCCACTCTCCTGCCCTTGATTATGAAAGGGAAAGGTTTCCCATATGCACTGCACAGTCTCGTTAACCTTTCCTGACCCTCACTTCCGGTAACTAGTTTCACTTCCTTCTCCGTACAGGATATTGACACTTCCTGCTGTCGAAAAAACTCTATACCAAAATTCACTGCATGATTCAGGCCTTCTATCACAATCGGTTCTACTTCAAATCTACAATCCAGGCCATCCAAGTAAAACTTAATTCTTTCGCCTTTCCCTAATACTCTCAATCCTTTCCCGCCTCTCTCCGCCGTATGCACTCTAGCGTTACTTTCCTCTAGCATTTTCCCCCCTATCGTCTTCCAGAATTCATTTGACACAAAAGTACCATTCACTTAATTGCCTGTGTTTTCTAAGGCTAACCCGAATATATCTCGTTTAAATAACTTGAATTTCACATATGAGGTTTTATGGTCGTCTTTCTCAACTAAATTAACATTGTTCAGATGCATGAGAATATTCCTTTCCCATTCTCTTAGTTCGAGATCTTTATGTCTGTTAGGTCTCAAACTACCTCTCACTTTTGGGTCAAAATCATTAGATACCTTCTTAACATTGTCTATATTATCTATGACTTCCGTTCTAACTTTATCATCTCTCACTTCCGGTACTAATTCACAAGATTCATGGACATTTGGATTTACAGAAATGTTTGTTAAATGATTAGTAAATACATTCACATCATTATTTTCTGCAATCTTAGGAGTTGAGGACCGTCTGTCATCGCAACTCCTTAGGGAAAAACCGCCTCTGGTACCAGTTTCTTCAGAACTTCCTGCATCACTGCCATGGATTTGGCCATATCTGCTATTTGTCCGCCTCCATAACCGCCATTCTCTCTCCTTCCCTGGTTTCTCCGTGTTCCTCTACATTCCCGTGAAATATGACCCTCTTTCCCGCAGTTGTAACACAAAATTGAGGGGCGGGAACTGGCCTTATGAGTGTCACTTCTGTTCTTCCTGTTAGGATTCTTCCTCCTCCATTCATCAAACTTCCTGCAATCTCTCTTCTGGTGACCAGGTTTCTTGCAAAAATAACACACATCTCCACCCTGCAGGGCATTTACTCCACCCTCGATGTCTAAATCCTCAGCATCAGACATGTCCTCCACCAGCCCTGGCATGGCATTGACGTCCATAGGTACCTGTCCCGTCTTCAACATCTCGTTGACCTTGGCTATCTCGCTCTTATCATACCCGTATGTACTTTGTAAGCCTGCCATATCCTGGGCTGGGGCTCTGGGGTCCAGGTTATAAGTCCTCAGGTTCCCTAACTGATGGTCCAGAACTGCCTTAATCTCCCTCTCGTGCTTAATCTCTTTAGGCATAAACAGTAGGCAAGTTTTTCTCAGTTCAGCGTTGTATAATCCTAACAACATATTAGTCTTAAACTCGACTAAACTTCTCCTGGCTGGGGGGTAGGCTTGCACGAATAATCTTAGCTTGTCCATGTGATACTAACGAGCATCCTCATTTCTTGTCTGTCTCCTGGCCAAGTATTCCATCCTCCTGCCCTCCTCGTCCTTCTTATGAGTGAAATTCTTCAATAACTCTTGAAAGAATTCACCAATCTCGTAGTTGTCAAAAACTAATCCATCAGGTTGCAACAATACTATCTCAGACTGTGCTTTTCCCGTTTTACAGTCTAGCAGCATCCTTTTCACGGCATCGTTAGGGATTGTTTCACATTCAAATCTTGACAGATGTTTCTCTAATTCGCCACACCAGTCAAACACTTTAGTAGGGTTACCATCATATGTTGGGGCTCTACAGCTAAAATCCAACAGCCTCTTTTTATATTCAGCTTCCGCCCTGCTCAGATCTTGTAACGTCTGCCTATCCCCTCTGCCAGCTGCCTTCTCCGCCTTCAGAAAGGACACATAGACTTCTTGTGCATCTTCCACCTTAGGGCATTCTAGTCTTGCGACTACTCTTCCCATAATTCCTGTGTCTCGGGTGTTGCTGACTCTTGCCACGTCTGGGCAAATGATTTATCCTTATATTTCTGCTCCATATCCGCCAGTTTCTTCTTAGTCTCTTGGAGCAGCTGGAACTGCTGCCTTATTTCCGCCATGCCATCTGTCACTGGATGAGATGGTCCCTCCATCTCTACTTCCGATCCAGAATCGTCACTGGGTAAACTCGGATATTCTTGAAACGTAGCCACTTTATTTCCTGTATTCACACTGGATTCACTCACCGGCAAATCCTCTCAGGTTAAAACTTCTCTGGCTAATCCGTTAAACCAGGTTTTCACTTTACTGGAATACTTTCGAAGTCTCGGGCATCTAGATCTGGTTCATAGGTTGTCCCACCTGCAGCCACCACTTTTGTAATAAATATAGGTCCCAAGATTACTCTAATCAAAGTCTAATTATAGTCTCACTGACTCTATCTCTAGCCAAAACTCAAGGCTCTCAACTCTAGCCAAAACTCAAGGCTCTATATTCGTCTGTATAACACGAAGGTTTATGTAGTACTAAATTTATTTATATACAGGTAAATCAAACTGACTGGATCGGCCGGTCAGAGCAACATTGAAATAGATAAGACATATATTGATAACATAGATAACAAAGATCGTGATAAGCATTGCAACAGAAAATGCTACATTCATATACATTCAATATCTACATATATATGTTTATTTTCAGCTTTTGATCCCGTTGCAAATGGATACTCCTTGGACTATGTGCAGCAGGCTTGCTGAGTTTAGTTTTATACACACTACACAGAGCAATAATATGATGAGGGTCCATATATCTCCGTTTTCCTTAGCTTGCATTTAAATTATTGTTAAGTATAACCATAGCTTAAATAACCACAACTATATGCAGGGTGTCCCTAAAAAACGATCATTTTGGTACTAGAGGTCTCGTGACATGCAGTTTGATATTTTTTTTAATTTTTGGACATTTTCGAAATCTCTGAAACATTCCGATTGATGGACTCTAATTACAGGTTTGAAAATTGAGGAAGATAATTCAAAGTTTGCCATTTTGGCTTGGTTGAGCTCGAATATTTGCTATCTTCGTTTTTTGAACATGCTACAGTTAAACCCTAAATAAGCCATACTTCGAAAGAATTCATCAAATGTCGTATTCTTCACTTTCTGATACTGAAATGTTGCAGACATTTAGTTTTTTAATTAAATGATTATATGGAACTCTTTAAAACTGTTCCCGCATATTCATGGATATCTATTTATTTTCGCAAATACTGAGATTTACGTAAAATAGTTTAAACCCCATTGAAAAATTGTCAATACGACATTTGATAAATTCTTTCGATGTATGGCTCATTTAGGGTTTAACTGTATGTGATTTCATAAGGGTTTCTTTATTAAATTTAAAATCCTAGGGTCATGCACCAAAACCTACGAAGTTAAAGAATGAATGAAAAGTTGCAAAAGAAAGTAAAATTGCTACTGTTGATGTGGACAAGCATTGCAAAAGAGAGATCTGGATATAAAAGTGAGAGTTGCATTTTTATTAAAAACAACAAGAAGGTCATGGACCAGTGAAATTCATTTCTGTAAATTTTAAAAACCTTTTTGTATGTCTGTTATCTGTTATTCGAATATTTCAAAACATAAATGTGAAAGCAAGATAATTAGTTCTTGTACTTCTAATCTTGAAATAAATGTTCAACCCAGCAAAAATGGTAAACTTTTAACTGAATTAATTATCTTATGTTTAGTGCTACAAACTTCTAATTGGTGTCCATCGATCGGATATGTTACAGAGATTTCGAAAATGTCCAAAATTTTAAAAATCGAAATATTATGACACCTCTAGTACCTAAAAGATTGTTTTTTGGGGACACACTGTATGATATTACCATAATATGTAAAGCAAAAGAATTGAGTCTTTGCCACAAACTCTAATTTTCAAATCCCTTGTCGAACAACTTAGATATTCCAAATTATGAAATTCTGTCACATCAAATGATTAAAATTTGATATATCAATGGTTTACACCATCAGGTTCCAATGATATAGGATTCAGAAAATTTGATTTTGTAGCAATAACTAAATTCCTTTAGTTTAATCTGTAATTTCAATCGATATTATTTGAATTATAGAATAAAAAGTTCTTAATCAGTTTTAATGATTTTCATTCTAAAATGGTTTATTTGTGCTTAACTAGGAAATAACATTCATATTGCATTTGCATAAATATATATCTTCAAAGGATAAAATCTGTATGTATGGGTAATTGGGGAAAATTTATGCAATAGCATCAAGCATTTGGTAACAATATATTTTAAGCTTGAAGCAAAAATATACATCCTAAAATTAAAAACACCCAACTTTGAATTTTTAATTGTATCCAAAAATGATTTACACTGGGGGTTTGTTTCATAATTGGATTTAGAAAATGCTTTATTAAATTTAACTTAATTTAGCAACTATAATAAAAAATCTAATACTAGCGGCAGAAAGTTCTCAATTTGGTCACAGGGAAACTATGTTTTGATCAACAAAAAACTTAATTAACTGTTTTACTTTAATCGCAGATAAATTACATACTTTCAAACTTTGTAAAAACAATGTTTAAGAACTATTAGGGAGATTCCATACAAATAAGACTTAGTTAGAGCTTGCAGGAAGAAGAAAGGGGGTCGATGCTACATTATGCAGACAGAGCCTCATCATTTTCATTTTTTGAAAAATAAGCTTAATTAATGATGAAAAAATTCCAGAATTTACCAGCTACATTATTCGAAAAACATATTTAACTAAAAAAATCCACATTATTGAGAAATTGTTTCACTTCCAAAACACGATATAAAGCATAAACAAATTGCTGCTTTTCCGGGCTTAAACATGTTAACGTAATAATTTACGTCACTTTTTCTGCAGTTTATATTCATTCATATTTCATATTTTTATTCAACTACAAAGCATGAGATATTACAAATAAGCAATCAAAATATACTATGCAGTTTGGACCCGGCAAAGCAGGGTTGGTTGTTTTGAGTGATTGGCCCGAAGTTAATTAACGATACTGAATATAATTGGCTACACATATCAAGATATGTTTTTGGATAAGTAAGGAGTTGATTGGAAGGAAGGAGATTGTCAGGTGATCTGTGGCAGGGTGAGATCAGAGGGATTTTATGTTGAGATAAATTAAAATACAGGGTGTTAATGATGGTAGTTACATAAACAGAAATAAGCTAATAAAGTTTCAGTTATTTTAGTTTTTTTATATAAAATTTATTCACACGATATACAGCTAGGTTTTTTCGCATTTAAACTTCTCATAATTCTCAAGATAGATATTGATTACTCTTTGTTTAAATATTTTTGCAGATTTAGTTTCTTTAAGGTCAAATTCAATTTCATTCCACAATTTAGTAAACATTGTGGACGGAAAGCTTTCTAAATTTTTGTTTAAACCCCGTTTAAATTTATATGATTTTGTTCTATTCCGTTCAGCTAAAGACTTAAACATATGTGCGCAAGTCAAATTTGTAGATTAGCCACAATTGAAAATATTAAGTTTTCTAAATTATAAACATCTTTGCATGGAGGGTCTGAAATTAATAAAAATATTAAACATACAAATAATAATAATAATAAAGGTAAGACTGTTTCACAAAAACAAATATCTTTTAATATCAAAATAAGTTTATAAATTTTTGTTATATTTCTGATATTAACAGGTTCACATGCTACTTGTTACCAGTTAATGTTTTTAATATCTAAATATTTAACCTATGATATTTTAAACTTAGATTATTCTGTCTAACAGAATTCATAGTTTGAACTATCAAGGGCTTACTTCATCATTTTGCAAAGATTTAGAAATTAGAAAATCTAAGTTTGTGGCAAAAACTCAATTCCTTTAGGCAACGTTATGTTATACAATATGATTTTATTTTGTTTCAAATGCATTTTGTTTGAAAATAAAGCGATATTTAATAAAGCATAAAACGAAAAATACCTATTTTTCGTCCGGACCACACCTATTTTCTAATTTTACTCAGCTAAACTAAAACTTTTAGGTGATAGTCGCTGGGATTTTTAGAATCTATAATTCAGAATTGACATAGTGTTGGTAAGGAGCATAGCAATTAGTTTTGATTTGCTTGAGGTATTGAGAAATTTAAGTGTTCAATGTTCATGTATTGTTCATTGCCTATTGTACCTTCATAAGATGTTCTTCTTTTTTTTAAAAAAAAGCCGGATAACATATTTATAACCATTATAAACAACATGACGTAGCTCAAAATTCTAATGAAATAATGTAAAATATGCGAATATGACTTGTGCATTTCTTGTTTTATAAGAAGCAATGGAGAGACTCAGAGAAATAAACATTTTTTTATCCGATTAAAGTACAGTTGTAAGATGGCAATCTTACGCCTGCCATCTTTGTATGAAGGGGCATTTGAAACTACGCTTACAGTCCCTTTAAATGAGCATTCAATTGTTGATAAAGTAAACAATAGTTTTATAAAATATTTTAACACATAAAAATGAAATAGCTTCAATAATAAAGTAAGTATGGAATACTTTAGCTATAAAAGTAAGATATCTAATTATTTATACTTTAAACAGACTTGATCATTTACGAAATTCAACATCTCAAACTGTAATTAGAAAATAATATTCACAAACAAAAGACACTATGATAATAGTTGACTAGCTACAACGCCCATGTATAGTCACTGTCTTTTTCTGTCTATGAAATGCTCTGTTTATAAAATAAATTATATTAATGATTCTCTCTAAAAATACTGTCTAGCAAATGTCCTTTTATAAAAGATTTCCGTCACTAAATTGTTAAAAATCCTTCAATAGGCACTAACAGTAAATGGAAATATTTACTTTTACTGAAACTATAGTGGCCAACCATTTGTTTTAAACAGTTTGTCATAAATAATGGTTCTAGAAAACATAGATCTACAGTCTACAGTCTACAATCTACATGACAACCACTGAGGTGTAAAATATGCAAAGTTACCAAGGACTGTAAACACAAATTCTAATTAGACTGTGACTAAGGTCTCACGAAAACTCACCCTAGGAAAGAACACCAAAGTAGGAGTTGATTGTATCAATGGTATATACTAGGAGTAGAACTGTATCGAAAGTATACACTTGGAGTAGAACTGTATCAATTGTATGCACTAGGAGTAGAACTGTATCATTAGTATACACTTGGAGTAGAACTGTATCAATAGTATACACTAGGAGTAGAACTGTATCAATAGTATACACTAGGAGTAGAACTGTATCAATAGTATACACTAGGAGTAGAACTGTATCAATAGTATACACTAGGAGTAGAACTGTATCAATAGTATACACTAGGAGTAGAACTGTATCAATAGTATAC